AGAAATAAGAGACACAGGGGAATCACCTCATTTGCTATGGAGAGGGGGCGCTTTCTGGGGTGAAAGTGAGGCATTGAACAGATGAGAACAGCGCTGTTCCACAGAACACACCATCCAGAAATGAAAGGAGTTAAAATCGTGGTGAATGAGGGGAACTTTAGGCAGGAACAGTGTGATTAATCACACTCAGACTTGGCTAAGACAACAGTGAAAGGCACCATGTGATTTTTATCAGGCTCTGTTAGTGTTCCACTCATACCCCAGCGTGACAGGTAATGCAGCATCCCAGGGGAATGGGCTGGGGTGGCAGGATCAGTACTCAGCTAGGGAGGGAAAGGGCTGGACAGAACTTCCAAAACCAACAGTGTGACTGAGATTGTTGGACACGACCCACTGCTGCCCATCAAGCCTCAGGCTGGTTCGCTGGTTGAGAAGTTCTTGCTCCTTGAGACTGCAGGGACAAGTGGCTCTCAGCCCGTAAGCCAGGACACTGCTGTCATCTGCTGTTTGTGTCACAGACCCCCTTAACCCTTGACATGAGATGTTTTCTGCCCTCCCCACTCCTGAATTTGTGTTGCCTCAGGCAGACAAGACAAAGGCATGCCTGGTCTTTTCCTGCAGCTTTATTGTCCCAGTTAGTCTCTGCACCTTGGACTGCCTACCTCTCCTCAACCCTACCATTCCCTTGGAAAGCTCCACAGCTCAGCCACACCCTCCTGCACATGCAGGATACGCACGAAATCAGAGGCAGGCACAGCTACAGAACCCTCGCTGTTGATGAGTCTCAAGGTGGTTTACTAATAATCCAGAAACTATGCTTGCCAAAGTGGGATTATCTGAAAAGCAAACTCCACTCCACTGCAAGACAAATGCTGCCTGGTCCCCAAGCCCGAGACAGCCCAGATGACAATACTGGCAAGGCAGAAAAGGTCACTTAAACCTCCTTTTCAATCCAGGATGTCAGGAGATGTGAATTTGCCAATCCTTCCATTCTAACAGCTCACTTCAGAGCAGATTATACAAGACTGCAGGACACTACCAGGGACTGGGCACGCTGTGTAAATGCTCCTCATTATGCAAATGCATTGAACCAGCTCTGGATGATGGCAGGAGGTGGAGGATGAGGTTGTATAAGCTGAATGAAGCAAGAGCTCTCACGGGCTTTTTTTCGGGGCACTGATAGCTCTAGTAATTATCAGTGCCAGCCCTGGCAGCCCTGTGCCTCTGCCCAGGCCACGTATCACTCTGAGGTGGCTTTTGTATCCTCATTGCAATGAAGGATTTTATCCTGCTAGGGTTTATTATTCTTTTATAGACTGAAGGGCTTCAGCCTAATCTTTCAACAAACAAAAGGAATCTTTCAACATTTCATTGCTGTTGTAATTGGCTCCAAAAATAGCACTCTCAGAGCCACATTTCTTAAACTTCTCAAGTCCAAGGATTAACCTTTTTTCAGAAAAAAATAAAAATAATCCAAAGACCAACTTGTATATTTTTCACATATCAAATCAAATAAACAAAAGACTAAAATTTGAAAGTTCACAGAATCAAAGCTAATCTATAGTAGCTCTTATTTCCTCCCATTTTGTTTGCATGCTTGCTTCTGTGGCTGTCGGAGGGGAGGAGAGAGGGTTTACTATTGTTTCATGAGCCACTGCTGGATGTTTTATTGACCACCACAGGCCTGTGGATCAGAGTCCGAGAAACACTTCTTTGGAGATAAACAGGCTCGTTACAGGCAGCCCTGACTCTCTGCTCTGACTTCTGGCTCGAGCTGCAGCAGATGTTCTGATTTTAACTCCTTTACCCACGAGGGACCAGGTGCTCTGCACAGCTCCCTTCATGCCACCCTGTCCTGGCAATTCCCGTGCATTCAGTGCATCCCCCTGGATCCAGGCCATGCTCCGTGCACTCCACCCAGGTCAGCTCCACGGTAAAGCACCATCACCCCAGGGATGCAGAATAATGCCAATGTGTCCCGTATCTTAAAATAGACAGTATGTGTCCTCTCAGAGAGGATGAGTTGTCTCCACTGCTCCTCCGTTGTCGTAAACGGCTTTTCCTGCCAGGAAAACTGGCCCCAGTGCAGCCCTCTCTCCAACTCCCCCAGCTGTCTCCAAATTTCGCAAGCAGACACCTTGGCACCTCCCACCGCCTTCGGCCCGTGTTAGTGTTGGCCGCCTGGGACCGATGGCTTCCATCTTCTTTCTCCTTGTTTCATTAGCTGTCACGTTGGGGGTTTTGATCTTCCCTGGAGCCAGGCCCTGCCAAAAGATTTACTCCACTGCGGTGCTCCGTTTCACATAATTGCCAGGGAAAGCTGCGTAGTTGGTAACGACCGAGGGGAGGGAACGGGCTGGATGCACTCAGGATATGGCGTTCACATATTGTACTTTCATAAAGGTATAGCAATGGAAACATTCCCTATTTTGATTGTCCCAAAGCCACAGGAAAAAGGGAATTAAGGGAATTGATATGTCTGGGATAGATGCCAGCTCTGATTTACTCACATTTTTACCCTGATGTGAAATGCCTTGGTCAGAGATGGAAAACTTTTATAGAAGACGTGAACCAAATCGGGCCCTGCAAGTGCTGGTCTCCAGCTAAGAGCTGTCTCAGCTGGCACAGCCCGAGAAACATTAAAACAAAGGAACTGGGAATCAAATGGGCAACAGCAGCTCTGTAGGAAATTTCTTCCCTTCCTCCAGAGGGTTTGGACATACCCACATTTGCAGTCTGCCTTCTAACCACAAAGTGCCTTAGGTACCAGAACACCAGTGAGTTCGGATGTAGGGCTTGGCTTGGCTCCTGGAAAGAGGATGTGCTTTATCATCAAATCCCAGCATGATTTGGTCCGGAGAGGCACAGAGCGGTCAAGGCAGAGCGGTGAGCCCCAAACAGGGTTGCCTTTGGAAGCAGGATAAAAAGAAAATATCCTTGCTAACATAACCTCGCCTTCCAGTTTAACCTCCATGTTCCCTCAGAGAGTGCAAACATGCCTGCACATATTTTAGGCATAGCAACCCACTTAGGAAGAGTCAGATGTAGTGTAAGTCCAATTAAAGCAAAATGGAATGAAAGTCCCAAATTATTTCAATGTGTCAGAGCGAGGAGTTCGCAAATCCACTGGTTATTGCGAAGTTGTTCTGGGAAAAATAATTTCTGTATAGATTCCATCCCACTTTGCTGAATTCCATGGGAGGTTTGCCATCAATGGGAGAAGGACCAACACATACAGGCAAACTTTAGCCACGCATTAATTGTGTTTCAAGCCAAAGGCATTCACTCTTACGCCCCCACCCTGCAATGGATTTTCTATAGGAAGGTCTCTGTCCCTGCAGTGATGTCCACTGAATGCACACCAGAGAGATCTGACTGCAAGATCCCATCTGACTGCCCAGAAACCTCTAAGAACATGTATCTGCATTAATTTTACCCAGATTAATATGAGTTCAATCGAGGGCAGAGTTTGATGAAAATATCTCATAACATATCAAGCTGGAGGGTAGATCAAAGCTGGTTTTTAGCTCACTAATAAACCCAAACAGAAATAGCACTGCAGAGGAAGCAGCTCATTTGTTTGTGATGGCTCTGTTCTTTGGGAAGGTGACTACAGAAACCACAGAATTATTACTGCTAAAATAACCAAAACAAAATGCAGAATTAGGCAAACCTTTCATGTAGGATATCATCCATAATTATTTCTCTTGTTAAAATTCCCAAACACCAAACACTGGGGAGAAGCGTTCTGCCCACGTCACTCACCTCCAACCTCTGTTCAGAAAAATGTAAAATAGTGAAGGTCCCTTCTTGATTTATGAAGCACGGCAGGTTTGTTTGTTTGCTTGTTTGTTTATTTATTTTGGGGGTTTTTGTTTGTTTGTGGGGTTTTTTGTTTGGTTTTTTGCATGTATTTAAATATTAACAGAACCCCAGAATTCTGGTAAGCATAAACTAGATTTACACCAACTCAGTGTGCCACCCAAAGATGGGGTTCCTATAAGGTTGTGCTGTGCAGCTGAGCTCATTGCTCTCCAAGGCTTTCTAACACACAGTTACCACAGGGCAGATACACTGGCATGTTTTTTTTAAACTTGCTAGAAAGACATTTGGTCCCCTAAATGCAATTTATGTCATTCAGCTAGAAAGTTTGTTTTCAGTATAAAATACTTTTTAATCACCTCTGTTAAGTCTTTCTACTTCATCTCCTCTGGTTCCTATGGAAATGGCAAGTCTTCCAGAACTGCAAATTTTGTTTCCTGGCCAATGTTAGGAAAACTGTTTTTTTTTTTCCCCCACTACCTTCTGAGATGGCATTTTTATATAGATACTGTTAAGGTCTCAGAAAATATGTTTGAAATTATTCTTATTATTCATTACACTAAAGACCTTCCATGTTTCTAAAAGCAGCAGTTTTATTTTTCTCCCTTTCCACATAAGCAAACAAAAAAATCTCCCATTTGCCTCTTCACTAATCCTCACCTGCTTTTTACATGCAAGTTCTTCTTTACCTGAATTCTTGTTATAACTAAAAAAAGAAACTCAAAGAGAAAACAATAAAAATTGACACCTTTTTGGCCAAAACAGCACTTCCCACCCTTGATCCATGGCTGGCTGGCTGGCAAGGTTATAAAAGCCTGTAGTTGGTCTGGTGAAGCAACTATTTTTAAAAACTCTCTATTCAAAGCTGAACAATACAAGTGTGAGCGCTCCAAAAGGCATAAAGAAGGTTGTCAGGTTCTTTGCCACGGTTTGGGAGCCTCTTTGTTGAGGAAGAGCAGAAGAGCATGGATTGCATGTCTTTTTCTGCGTGACAAGCTACAGTGAGCTGAGCAAAAAGTGCTGGACTTCCTGAGCAGGGTGAACACCTCACACATGAATGACAGGTAGAAGAGTCAGGTAGAAGAGACCTGTCTGAGTGAGCCAGTGAACCTGTCTGAGAACCACCGAGGCTACTCTGCTATTGCACTGCCCTTTTCACAAGCACACGCTGAGGGTACCTGCTCATGGATTCACTGAACATCCTGGGCTGGTTGCTGGTGCTTTGTTCCACCTCTCTGCTGTCCCTCACTCCCATCTCGAGGCTCCACCTCATGCTGTGCACGCACTTAGGATGGCACTTCCAGGTGTAAAACGAGCCTCAAACACAGGGAGAGACAACACGATCCATTAGTTTGAAACAGCAGGGCATGGCTACAGACCTGCCCATGAATGTGCTGTGCAAGCCTCTGCTTCCAACTCTTGTGAAAAACCATCCTTCCCCTCTACTTGGAAGGAGGATTCAGAAGGAGAGGTGCAGCTGGAGAAATCTGCTCAGTCAGGGCAGGAAGGAAAACAGGAAGGTGTTGGTTCTCCCCTATACAGATCATTTTTGAAAACCCCTCTTGTTCTGACATTGTCCCAGGCAAGGAGCAGACAGAGCACAGCACCAGATGAGAGCCACATGCTGAGATCAAGTGGTGAAAATCTTTCCTATATCTCTGCAGTGCTCCCGCTGGGCACCTGAATACCAGAGACTTGTGAGCAAAGGATTTACCTTCTCGGTACGATCACTCCTGAGATTAGCACAGAAACATAACAATAACACACATTTTAGCTGTCCCCTTGTTACCTCCTCACATACCTTGGAGTTCATCAGAATCTTCTCAGTTGTTGACAAGGAAGTTCTCCTTTAAAAGAACAGAAAGATACGTTTTGTTACTGTCTTCACCACGTTGTGAGATACACTGAATTCTTAATTAGACCACCCTTTCTATCCCTATAAAGAAGCTATGAACAAGCCAAGAGCCTGTGGCTTTTCACCTGCTTAATGAGCTACACTTTGGAGATTTTCAGGACTTGTGCCACTGGGAGATGGCTACAACAGCGCTAAGAAGGGGCACAGATCCCTGGGTTTTGCAGCTGCAGCACCCATGGATGCTGGCAGTCATGGGTGAACCTTCCTTCAGAGGAAATGGAGATGTGCTGGAAACCTCCCAAGAGAGCAAAAGAATGCTTCCAGACAGTCAGGTGGAGCAGCCTGCTGGCTCCATCAACCTGATGGACTTGGCAGCCTCTCCTGCTCTGGCTGGCCAGGATCCTGGAGTCTGCAAAGCTGCAGGCAGAGTTACTGAATTATTGGGAGAAAACAGATACCTGCATAAGCTTATACACAGTCACACACACACACACACACACACAGCCACACACATACATTTACACATAGCATGGAGTAAGCCTGCAGGATATGTGAACTCCTAGCACGGCTATGCCTTATCCTGCAATGACTAAGCTGTCTCTGTTAGGGGTATTAACTCTGCAGGAGAGCTCTGAGATCTTCCTGGACAAGACTTAAAGATGCCTTTTTATTAGCTTTTGTAGAAGAAGCACTAACTAAAAAGCTCCTGAAGCTTGCCCAGCCATCTCACATTCCCTGGGTTCCTCTAAGCCTGAGTCCTCGAAGTTCTTTCTGTAGCAGAGGCCAAATCCCATTTCCAGCTCCAGTCTGGGCACCAGGCTCTCTTCAAGGCTCTCCACTTCTTCAGCCCAGAGCTGCTTACGTCAGCAGTAGTTGGCCAAGAGAAAAAGAGAACAATGCAGCCTTTATAGATTAACAATATTTCAATTTACTGTAAATTATGCAGTATATAACATAGCTCAGAGGAGTAATCTGTCATTCTTTCGGATCCTTGCTCTCCTTTCTCTTCCTTCTTCACCTTCCCCTTTTCACTTCTCCTCCTTTCCAATTCTATCTTTTTGCCTCCTTTTCTCTCTCCTTTCTGCATTTCCTCCCTTCCAACAGATCCCACTATTGCTCTGATGGCTCTGTTCCAGCCTCTACCTCTGTGTTATCTGTTAAAATCATTGACAACAGAACATCTAAGTGGAGATGCATTCCAGTGTCCTGGAAAGGGATGTATCAAGCAGAGAGAGCAGGACTTGAGGGAATGGAGGACTGGGATATGCAAGAGGAGTTAGAGGCAGAAAAGACCTGGGGTACATCCACTGGTATAGGCAAAGTAGAGAGGTCACCCCCAGCAGTGGCTAAGAGAATTGTCTGCAGCACTTCCACCTGGAACTGTCAGTCCAGGAAAAACTACATATCATAGTCTTAAGGAGAAAAACAAATAGAAGTGTTTCAGCTTTGGAGTGTTGGATATTTGATCTTATCTGGAACGAGTGTGTGTGTCCACGTGTGCATACGTCACTGTTGTTATTTTATTACAGAGTGCTGTTATGAAACTTCCCTTCCCATTTTGCATAAATCTTCCTCTTCAGACATGTGGTCACCGGTTTAGGGAATATTTACTGTGAAATGCCTCAGTTTTTGCAGACCCAACTTTTCTTGGTTTCATTCTCGGGACTACACAGCACAACCAGAGCCTTTGCCACAGATGTTCCAGACACTGCTTTTAAAAAAATTATCCTGACCAAAATTGGTGCTTTGGCCTATGTGAACTGCTAAACATCATCACAAAGCAGCAATTAGTCTGTAAGTTACTTATGATCTTTGCCTCCTCAAACCTTAATGTTTAGGTCACATGGAAAAGTGCAGTTGTGGACACAAAACCAGGTTGCCATATTTGTTCACACTCATCTTTGGTCCTCTTCCCAAAGCCAACTTCCCAGCTGACATCTGAGGTGTTGCTCACCTTACCTGGGTGCCTGCTCAAGGAAGGAGAAATCCCTTCTCCGCAGCAAGTACAGGCCTTCCTCAATTCCCTCTAGAACTTAAGCCTCCAAAACTCAGGAGTCAAACTCCTCCAGTGCTGCAAAAACCCAAGGTCTCCATGGACAGTCTGTCTGCAACACAAAGGAGCTGCTCCTCCCAAGCCAGGACTCAGATGATGCTGTGCAACCTCACAAAACTCCACTGACCCAGCTCGTTCCTGTCCAGCCACCAAAGAACTCTTTGCCTTGCTAAGTTCTTTTTCTCTCAAGGTCACCTGACAAACAAAAACACTTTCAGAAAAGAAAACTCCCTTGAGCTCATCCCTTCTGTTTTGGGGATTGATGCCAGCCCATGTTCCCCTCCGCTCCTTCCCAGTCACACAGACAGTAGTTCTTCACCCCTCATTATGCATAAAGACAAGCTTCCAGGTCCCAGATGAACACACATGCACTTCCTCGTATTAAAGACATTCTGCAAAGCATGGAAAACCTTCAGGACAGTCAGGAGAGAGAGCAACAGACGAGATGAAACACTCAGTCTGCACTCCCAAGGCCCTGGGTGCACTGGGAGCTCTGCAGCCTCTCCCCTCTCCTTGGGGTTTGGCTGCCTGTGCTACAGCCAGCTCTGATGGGGTACTGGGATCACACTGCTGGAAAACCATGGTAAGCAGCCTTTACAGGGCCCTGCCCCACTTCCCACAGGAACTGGCTTTGAGCTCAGGCTCTTAATCCTATATGACCTGTGCTCATCCACCCTGCTGATCCTGATCCTGGATGTGGGGGAGAGCTGTTCCCTATTGTCCGTGGATGCAATCAGATCCAGGAGCCAGTGTCCACGGCCTTGCTGCAGAGCACTCCCCCTGCCTGCTGGACACCAGGACAGGCAATTCAAGCACACTGGTCCCTATCACAAATGAGCGATGATCTTGTTCTTCAGGCCACCTTCTCAGGTTGGAACTGACCCCAGGCACAGCTGCTCACAACACATCTTCTCAAGCTCTCTGCCAGGGAGGTTTAGGTTAGATGTTAGGAAGAGATTCTTTACCGAGAGGGTAATCAGACATTGGAATGGGCTGCCCAGGGAGGTGGTGGATTCTCTGTCCCTGGAGGCGTTTAAGAGGAGACTGGATGTGGCACTTAGTGCCATAGTGTAGTAACTGTGGTGGTAGTGGATCAAGGGTTGCACTTGATGATCTCAGAGGTCCTTTCCAACCCATCTGATTCTATGATTCTATGATTCTCCAGGACAGGAGAAAGCTGGAGATCACCCTGCTGCCTTTTAAAAGACACAAACAGGGAAATGTGTCAAAGTAAAATCACAGGGAACTTAATTTCACCATCATTCTTCCTAAAATCATGGGGCTCTTTGTGCCAACTCTGTATTTTGGCACCATGTTTCCTTTCTTTACAATTTTCTGTTCAGCATAAAGGGATATGAGAGCACAGAAACCCATCACTGGAGACAGTGAAAGCCTTCCTAGATCATCTGTTTCAGAGCAGGTCTCTATCTATCCCCCAGTTTTCACTTGCTGGAAAGTTACCCAGCCATATGTTTGCAATTAAAGTCTCAGTTCCTCCCAGGCTCATGGCAAACAGTCTGCTTCACCTGGGTCACATCTCCAAAGGGAATTTCCCCAGACTGGATTTGCAGGCCATATTCGGTGGCAGCTCTGACACAGGTATTAGCCATAATGGAATCCATGTCAATTATGAGTTCATCCATTCGTTTTCCTATCCAGGCCTCCCACTCAAATTTCAGAGATCTCCTTCTAAAATGCAACTTGACCCATTTTGGAATGGAGAGAGTTCCTTAGTCACTCCATTTGAGACCAATTAGGCTGTTTGATTTGGGATCCTTTATCCCTCAGTGCTCTTAGCCTGTCTGTTCCAATAAACGTTGCAAAAAATCCCAGTGTCTGAAATCCCTGCAAGCTTCATGGACCCCGTTTCCTACCCGGTAACTGCACTCCTTTCACCGACCTGAGTCAGCCACAGACTCTGGGGTTACTCTGTGTGTACCAGCTCCATCTCCTTGAAATGCCCTTCAGATTTGTGCCTGGGGAGGCCATGAGGATGAGGAGTCACAACTGACTTGGAATGCTTTCTCCTGGCTCAAGAGCTTGGAGCAATCCCTTTTGCAGAGAACCCACGACGTGAACACGCTCTAAGGGTTCACTTTAATCGACCTCCCTGGTTTGCCTGAAATACTGATCAAATCCTAACTGCTTCCTTTCCAACAACCTGATGGATGGTCCACTCAGCCCATGGGTTTGGAGAGAATTCCAGCTTTCAAAACAAGGATCAGTCACAGATTTGCTGTGATTGTTGGAGCTCAAAGGTTTTATGTGTCCTTCCCAGCTGTTTCCAGCCCCCTCATGTCCCTATAGACAAAACAACAGTGTGGATTCAAGGCTGAAAACAGAAACAAGGTTGCAGGTTGTGAGGAGACATCTACCTGCTTTGATTCAACAGTCTTTAGAAGTTCTCCCCATGTTCCAACCCAGATTAGCCCGCAAGGTTTGTGAAATTAGGGTGCAACCACAGCACAAAAAATAATTTAAACCCAAAATAATGTAGACCTTTGACTGAGGAATGAGCCTGAGCACACATTTAACTGTCATCACAAAGGAGACGGCTTTCCTCATTAGTGCCCAGATGAATTGTCAGAGGAGAAGGGCTGGAATTGACTCTTCCCTCCTGAGCCTCTGGGAATGACCCCGAACTTTCCGTGAGGGAGGTGTGTTTCAGAATCCAGGGACCTGACTCTGAAGTTGGCCACTCTCCCCCTCTGCACACAGGAGACCCATCCCAGCTGAAGGCCTCCAAGGCCTTGTGCTACACTGGGAGTTCAAAACCAGATCTGGATTTTTCAGCCAGGGATCATCTCCGACTTTCCTGGCTTCAGAACCGCAATTCCATTTGCTTTATGTTACTTGCCTGTTGGCTTCGTGGGAAGAAAACAATATTATTAAAAAACCCAAGCAGTAATAATCCAAAAGGCAACACTGCTGTCCCAACA